CAAAACCGTCTTTCTTGTAATTTTCTTTTCATTAGAGCGTAATATTGTGTTACTTGTATTAGATAAACACTTGATGTATTTAATCAGTTATTAATTGGTACCTTTCCTTTGAACTTCTATTTTATTACGAATATATTTCGTTTGCGATTTACGGTAATAAGTGAATGTTGTTTCCTCTAAAACATCTACTGATGACCAAGTAGAAAAATATTACGCCAAAGTAAGGTACGGCCATTGAAATGTGCACCTTTTTAACCATGTTCCCGCATCAGACCTATTTTTAGCCCTGGCGGAGTTGAAAGCGTATCCGCTCGATTCAGATAGAACTAACGCGAGCAAAAACAGGTTTAACACGTCGAAGGCCCTTGGTTATTATTTCTATATCTATAACACCGGTCAAACTTCGTTCAGCATATCGCGGTGTTTTTAATAGACCAATACTGTCTTCTTAGGGGCAACCGAACTGAAATATTTGAATAATCATTATTCATGTAGAAAAGAAGTTTCTAGAAAAAGAAGTTTTGGATTCTCCAGATAAAGACATCAAACTAGCTCAATTCTTTGTTAGCTTCGCGCGAATGTTGTGGTTTGCGTAAAACTAGATTTACCTGTCGTCTCAGTTTAGTGTTGTCCCTCGGCCGACGCTGGGGCGTCGTTTACAGTTCGAGCCGCTCATCTGCGGACGTCGGAGAAATACGCGTGGATCAAATCGGCTTTAGGCCAGCATTAAACGATAGGAGAGCTCACTGTTGAAAAAAAAATCCGGAGAACCGTAACGCCTATAGTAGAAACGTTACACTCTAGTGACACCTGACGCGTTGGCTTGCATTTCTCCTTGCTCATGTCATTGCATAAAATAAGTACAAAAATATTTGCTCCGGTACATCGCTTCCGGCAGACAAGAGTTCGATTTCAGGGAACATTTAAACCCAACTGAGAGTATCATGTAGTTTCAGAAATTGGCTGTGGTTGACATAATTCCGAATATTCCATAACGACGAATACTGATCTACCGGTTGAGCTAAAAAAGACTCTAACAGATCCGTATTTTAGACGAAGGCTTAAGTACGAGTTACTAACTCTTTTAGTTTACCAGAAAGCACCGGCGATATATGTGCTGACATGCTGTAAGCAAATCCGTTAAATATATTAGCAATCTTTAATGAAACTGGAAACCGTTTTTGAGACTTGAAAAGAATGTAGTACTCAGTACTTCAAGGACTCGCGAAGTATGTAAAGAATTCGGCGGACGTTAGTATATCATCCTCGTAGGTCATAGGAACGCAAATAGCGGTCAAAAACTGAATTTATAAAATATATTTTTTTTAAAAAAATAAATTAACCGGCAGTTTATATTGTTATGACTCTTTCGATAAGCCTCGTCGCCCTCAAGGTAACCTAGTGAATAAACATTCTGTGCATCATTGAGGTAAATATAAACAAACCCAAAGTGTCCGATGAATATAATCAGTCCATCTATCGCTACAAAGGCAAGTGAAGGAAACCGTGAAGTGTCAATCGCCTGAAGTAATGCTAGACGGCGGCGCAGCACGTGAAAATTGAAGCATTCATGTGTTATTATATCGTTATATAGCCTGAGATGGCAATTTTGTGTAAACGAATCTTATCGCCAGCTCAATATTAGGTTTAGCAGACGCCACGGAGAAGCATTTTCAGACTCCATAACAATTTGGCTATGTTTGCCAATCACCAGTGCGGCACGTGCTACGAGATCAATAGTCATTTTACAAATAGATAGGTGCATTAGCTGTTTGTTAACTCTAACTTGCTTCTAAACTGGTTCCAGCATGATCGACCAGCCCGTTAGTTAGACCGACACAAACATTTGAAATTTACAATTTTTTTTCAGCCTACCCATGTTGGCGAGGCTTAGGACAAGTTTTAACTTCTAACCCGCAAGGATAGTTGTGTTGTCCTATAGAGTATCCTGACTATCGGCAACTAAGCTTTCAAGTAAATCTGGACAATCCAATAAAAGGTCGTAGACCGATTCAGTTACGTACGGCGGCTAGACATCAGCCCGGCCTACTGGAACTACGAATATTTTTCAGGCGTCGGCCAAGGCCGCTTCGAATCCGACAAGATAGGTCAATCTAAATTTCTAAAATGATCGTAATTACTACTTAGGATGGAGTTAGTATCTTTATATCTGATAATGGAAAGGTTGAACCAAAGATTTATGCTAAATACAAATAAGGATACGTCTCGATTTTTTTAAAACTTATTTTACGTGTAATAAAAATGATTATGTTTTTGAATCTACTAATGTAACTGAGAGCAGCAGCAGCCGACAGTACCACACCGATTTAATGTAAGCAAGCTGTGTTGACAACGAAAAGATTTGTTCTAATTAAATAAAAAACAAGCTTAATGTTGCTTTTTTTTCTGAAAAGATAATTGGGTTTATAAAAAAAAGAGCCCAAAAATGCTCCACAAACGATGTTTGATTTAAAGGTTATTCTGAACAGGTTCAAAACGCTCATCCTAATTCTTAACGCGGACATTGTTTATAAACCTTGATCGTTTACTACCTTCCAAATCTAAGCGCTAGTAGAAAACAGTTTCGTCGTACGTAAAAGTAACTAGCAGCAATTCGTACGGGCAGTAGTTGAAAAAAAACTCGTGATTCAGAGAATAAGTTAAAGAAAACGGAAGGCTTCTATTGCACAGGCAACAAGGCCAAAAGAAACCAAATGCTGATAGGACGGGTGCACCGTAAAACTGCCCACCTTAGGAAAAAGCCTGGGAGGAACCTAACAACAAATTAATATGCACAGGACAGTTGCAGGGCAATCGTAAAATTCTATCGTTGTCGGAATTGCAGGCACGGACGAAGTAGATGAAGAGGTGGACGATATAGAACTTCGGTCAATATAGGCCATACGACAAGGCACCTTTCGATCACTCGTGTCAGGGTATGGTTTGGGGTGGAGCCTTATCTTGTTATTCAGTTGGGTAGATCATGGCAAGTAGCTTTTGCATCAAACATGTTTCACCATTGCGTGCTTCATAAGGAACCTTCTTGCTAAGCAGTTGAATAGCATATTTTCCTATGCACTAACTGACTTATACTAATGAAATAGAGATATCTAACATTCAGCGTATTTGCACTTCTGATCTCTTTATGTTAGTGAGACGCAGGCAATGTCAGAAAATATTTCATTTTGGTAATGTCAAATTAAGCCGGAAACCATATGCGAAGATAATAGAGACGAGACGTAGTAGAAAACTCGTGAAAGTTATATCTTGCATGAGCAACACATTGCGTGCAGTCTACTACTGTTATATTTAAAAAAAAAAAAAAAACCATTAAAAAATGATGTCACACGAAATGGTGCTTGATTGTAATGTAACTCATGTAACAAGACGAAAAGGCAGGCAGCAGCTTACAATAAACCTTCGTCTTAGCGACAGGGTAATTTGCGGTGTATTTTTATTTCGCTCTGGAAAAACAGACACCGTCTCCAATAGCCTAGTTACCTGCAACTTCTTTCTTCAAAGTCCAATGCGTTAGCTATTCAACATAACCTATTGTGTATTCATAGTAAATGATGGGGTCAACTACTTACTCGTCGTCTTGTGCATTTTTCTGAATACTTGAGGGGTGTTGGGGCTGAAAGGAAGTTATGACGCTCAGAAGCCGCCTAGGAACTGAACGAAAAAAGTACAAAGTATCAGTTAGTACTATAAAAACTTTTGTAGCAAAACGGCAGACCATAATATCTTAATAAAATCTACTCATAATATACTAGACTGACCGCTTTGACAACCATCAATTCTCTTAGGTCGCTAATTCAGGTGACTAGTAGAGAATCTGATTTCATACGCAGACTGCTATTATCGAATATTTAGGAAACGCTATAAACTTTGGTTTGGATGCATTTAAAAAGACCACAAATAGCTCTGATTAGGTAGTCATGCTTGTACCGTTTTCTAGATATCATAAACTCCTTGAAGGCAATGCAGTTCGCATTGAACTTAGATCGGGAAATAAAGGGATAAACAGGTGTCACCTTTCCTGGAATCTTCCCGAGCCCTATTGGCTCTCGAACGGAGGCGAAAGCGGGTTTTCTGTCCTTCTCGTTAAGGGCGAGCAAAATATACGAAACTCACAAAAAGGCGGTTGTTCTTTTTGCGAGTGCCTTCGGGGCAGGAGGGCGTGATAGATTTTTTTTTCTCTGCGCCCTCCTTTGTGAGCCCGAACGTTGCGGAACACATTTCAGCTGGAACGTACGTTGCCCCCTCTTTTCACTGAAGACCTTCTAAAACTTTGCCGGTGAATTTGGCAAAAAAGACAACGAACTCGGACCAAGTCAGCAGTCTTATAAAAGAAATGTAATTGCTTGGAAAAGATGGGAGTGATATGGGCGTAGGCAAACGAATTCTTACGATCCAGTGATGGAGGCAGCGTTAGAGACAAGCTTTATTTAGTTAGCTCTGTAGAAAGTCGTGTGGGATCGCGTTGGGCCACGTTTGCTGATACTGACTCCAGCGCTAGCAGTCCAGGTTATTTCGTCCTCGGGCATTTTGGCCCACAAATCAGAAAGGAATGTTAGTAACCGCGGAAAAGCATTACTCTACATCAGTCGTGGCTCAGATACGCCCCAACCAGTTCTTCAGTTTTTCGTTGAAAGCTGCGCTAGAGGACATTTTATACATACTTCACACTTACATAAATTGAGACCGCGGAGAAGCAGCTAACTGACGCATCTTTTCAATATTTACGTGCAGCCGTACGTTTTTATTGAATTTGTTGTAAAAATGTTTGCGACGTCTTTATACAGAACGTATGAACTTGACTACTGCCATCTTTAATAAAAATTACAGCAGATATTTGAACTAATTGACAAAGTTTCATTATTTTTTACAAGCAGTTGCATGCTCTGCAACAACTTATTTTATGGAGAATGTAGAGAAAAATTCATGCAATCATGCTGACTTATCTTTCGCCACCTTCAATAATCTTTGATGCTTCACAGGAAAACTGTGCGACACTCGAAGAATCGATCCGCTCGCAGTGCGCTACCCTTATCGAAGCTATACAAAGACGCCGGGACGAACTTATCTCGGTAGCTCGCCTCGAAAGAGATAACAGATTGGCGAAGATATGCGACAAGGTCACTCAGTGCAGCCGGGGACTTCAAGGAACTACCTCACTTCTACAACTCTGCATTGAAGCTCTCAAGGAACCAGAACCAACGGTGTTTTTGCAGGTGAACATTTTGGCCCTTGTTTTTGCCATGCCTAGATGAGTCAAGAGTTGGGGCTCACAATGTTTGCTTCAACAATTTTATATGTTCTTTGGTAATGAGTATATTATGTTTAGAGCACTAATATACATTTACAATAGCAAGTCACTACTTGGGTCAGGATTCTCTAGACTTCAGTCAATAGAAAACATTAGTTAATCCATTGAATTCATTCCAATCATGCCAGATTGGAGGACTTCTCATCAATCGGGTGAAGAACTGTAAGCAGGAGTGGAACAAGGAACATCGCCAAACCTCAGCGATGAATAACTTCGACTTCGAAATCGACTATCAGGCCGCTCACGATCAGATTCGCATGCTAGATTTTACCAAAAACAAACGTAAGGACATCTACATTCAGCTCGTTTTAGATAAATCAGTGTCTTTCTATTCGTACCCAGAGAATTGAACTGTAGTTGATATTTTTAATACATTTTCAGTATGATATTATCACTTTGACAACTTAAACGAAAAAGTTTAGTTTGGCGTCAATGTTAAACAATGAGATATAACGATATCTGCGTGTACCGCTGTCAAAATAAATCTCATACAAGTGAGCGCATAGATTTACGACTTGGTCTTCATCTATTCTTACATGCTCACTGCAGAGGATACGGATTCAGGTTGGTATATGGCTGTCGGTTGCACAAAATTTTCATTGTTGTATTTATCCCTATGATAGCGCCTACTTGGAAACAGTATTATTGTCTCATCACTCTTTATGGCTTAGCACAAGAGTTTTTCAATACAGAAACACAAATGTATGTTTTACATAAATCGACTACTGATCGATATGCTGCTGTGGCCCGTTCGATAGCGAATAGAGGCCTCAACCCGAACGTACCTGTGTGTCGTACTGTCTTTCCTGATCGTATAGTCTCCTCTACAAACAAATTTAATACATTATTGTATATAGTGCTATAACGATGTGGATTCTGCATTTTAAAACTAACTCATTGTATGTAAGCTTTTATTGTAAGCAATGCCTTTGTAGTTCGTACGTGGCGTTTCTCTCCATCGACCCCAATGTCCGACTTTCCCCGATTGATTGAGTACGACATTTGTTTATTAATAGTCTTTATGCTGCTCGATTTTGTAGCGCCTGGCATTCCCATAATAATGGTCGACGAATGCGGGGTTGTCAACAACTCGATGACAGTCTCGTGGAGGTCAGCCATTGACCAGAGTTTTGTGGACGCGTTCGTACTTGAGATAACCGATCATGACAACGCAACAGTTTTCCGGGTAAGTGTTACCTTTCTCTGAATAATGTACATGCCAAGCCAATATTGTCAGACATCCAATGTGTATTCTAGCGATCATTCTAGTTGACGTTCTGTGTCGGTTTGAGGCCCCACGTCCATTTACGTCACTCTGCACATTAACGTCGCGTGGCTGACTTCTATCAGAAGGCATCAACTTTGTAAATATGTTGCCTCAAACATTCTAGGGACTGAAGACTCCTGTACAGAGTCTTATTTTTGTATTTGTAAAATAATCTGAAGCATTCATGCCTGTACTCTGTTAGCGAACAGTATGCAAATGAAAAACAATAATTATGTGCAATTAATTGTTAATTAATAACGAAATAACTAGAACCTTCATTTCTAGTAATACAGAACTGATGCGTTTAGCGTCGGTTGGCTCCACAATTGTCGATGTGGAATATCTTATAACTATTTCGTACTACATTTACTGTCATCATTCATTTTTGTATCATCAAGCAACAAAATAATGTCAACTTTGCCACATCCCTGATACAATTTAACCAATATTTATTCCACTTCTCCAGGAGGTCTACTGTGGGCAGGACAACATCTGCACGATTGACGGTCTACATTTCAACACCCTATACAACGTTCGCGTGAAGGCTCTCAATGGACACGGAGCATCTGGCTACTCGCAGGTCGTCTCACTCGAGACCCATTCAGTGGCTAGTTTCGTACTGGACGCGTCCACCGCCCATCCAGACATTTTGGCCAGTGAGAATCGACTCGTGGTTACGGCCGACGCGTTCGATCATCGACTTGTGCTTGGAAACCTCGGCTTCTCATCGGGCGTCCACTACTGGGAGCTGACCCTGACCCGATACGAGGGCTGCACCTCGGATGTCGTCTGTGGGGTGGCACGATACCATGCCGCCCGTGATGTTATGCTTGGCAAAGACGAAAATGGCTTCTCAATGTATATTGACCATCAGCGTTCGTGGTTTTTCCACAACGACGTCCACCACACACGGGTTCCACTCGGCATTCGGCAGAACGATGTCATTGGCGTCCTTCTCGATATGGACCAGGGCACAATAAGCTTCTACGTCAATGGAACACTACAAGGCGGTGCACCGGCATTTCGTGATCTCGACGGCGTCCTCTATCCGGCTATTAGCGTAAGCCGTTTCGTTGAGATAAGCCTTCGTACAGGACTGGATCCGCCTTCAGACTGTTAAGAGTGTTGCTCTTTCTGACGGTCCTGATTAGAGACAGCCAGCTAAGATGGTAGGGAGTGCCAGGCTTCTAGCCCACAGTTTCTGCGTTACGCTAAATCAGGCATACACCGGCCATCAGTTGGCCAATCTATTTAAGCACAGGAATCGAACAATTCGCAGCCAGTAGGGTTATCTGAAAACTAGATTCAATGAATCAGGAGCTCCCTGTATCTCTGAATCAATTAGACTGACCGATTGATGCCTACTGATGTTTTTTTTTTTTTAGTAAATAAATAAAAATGCCGATAAGTAAAACTTACTGGAAGGAACCACATTTCAAAGCGAAACCACTGAAAATCAGCGGCTCAATTGTATAGCACAATGTTCATACTATGGCTAAATTAAAGAACACACAACTAGCACAATTAGTGGAAGCGAGGTGTAGGTGGACGATTTCTGCACAATGAAATAGAGCGTGTGATCTACACTATGAAGTGCGAGGTTATTAATTAAAACGACGACGGCAACCACAATAATGATATGACCAGGGTTCTATGCAGACGATAGCATGCCAACTATCTTCAACATTATAGCTATTGTATGTCTTATTCTTCCCGCGTAAGCCACAAGGTGAAATACGATGGAGCCCACTTTTCTAATGTTTATCATTCACACAACTGTACAATCTAGTCATAACGAATAGTTCTGAGTGGGTCGCTACGCGTTCACACGACATGATGCGCTGATATGCCAAGGACAAGGCGAGAGGAGAAGCGATGCAAACAAAAAAATATGACTGCCATTCTCATGTTCTACTTAACAAAAAAAAACATTGCACGAAATCATATTAGTTCTCTCTTGAAAAGGCTGTGGGGTTAATGCAAACTATCGAATTCAGCTTTTTCCCAAACGCTACCATTTATCGTGCATAAAGGAATATTTACATCTTATACTCAAAAAAGGGTGCATGTGTGTGTATATATATATATATATATATATATGCGTCCCACATGCAACTTGCATATACGTGACACGTACATATATATACACATATATTTGATTTGTACTAACTACAAATTTTTCCGCCGATTTTGTAACCGCCATCAATTAGTTATAGCTGGAAGACAGATAGACGTGTCGTAAAAATACAAGTGATACTATAAAAGCATTATGCTAAAGTTGACATGATTTGTGATTTTAACGAAAAAAAATGTGATCGTGAGTGATTAATGAAGTGCTGAAATGGTTCTACACCCGCAAATACGGCAGTGTTATGGTTAAACGTAATTATCTGTGGAAACTTTTGTGGTCATCGTGTCTTGGTCGTGTGTGGCCGCTTGGCCGGTGTATTCATGTTTATATTGCCTGTATACAAAGATAAATAAAACCGTGCCCACCATTTTACATTTGCTATACATGCTAATTACGATATCGTATTTAAGTACCATTTCGTTTTTTTTCTTGAAACATATTTTATTGATTAAATATCGCTGATAATGATCCAGCAACGAATATATGCAGTTAGGAAAATTATCCAAGCCACGAAGGTCGATTAGAGGAGAAAACGTTATCTTACCTGGAGTAGAATAGAATTAAAGAGAAATCTTTTGTTTCACATTGCTTCCAAAAAAAAGTAGTCAACCATGGCGAAAGTACAGAGCATCAGAGTCGAGAGGTCAATGGATAACAGTAAATGACAGTAGTTTTTCTGGACATTGAGCTCCGATAAATGGCCAAAGTTTAATTGAAATTACTTTCAGTTAGTGGTAATTGGAACAAACGGTTTTTGTAGCTGCCTGTTGAATTTCGTTAAAATTGTTGGCAGAGAGCTTGTCTTTACTGGGGACAGCAAAGGGTTCTAACTCAAGACGGGAACCATTGACACTTTTATAGGAATCGTACGCCCGCTCATACGTTGTGATCGTACACAAACGCAAGCTAGGAGAAGGACAATGCTGATTAGAGATGATAGATCATAAAGGGGTGTTCGCCTGACCCAGATGTGGGTAATGAGACATAGACAAGCGGCAGTACATGACGTCGTAAACGAGTTATATATCTATGTGAAACTCCGGTGCAAGCAAACGCCGGACACAGCAAAATACTTGTACACATATATACATTTCATTTAAAGGTGATTGACAGGCCTGGAGGCACCGTTCACAGAAGCGAAAAAGCACCCAACGTTGATAATAAAATATAACAAACTAAAGATTATACCATACAGATATACAGTATATGTAGGTGTAGAGGACGGCAGGCACATATCAAACCCACACAATATCAAAATGTTTATTTATCTAATAAATATATGCTCGATCAGAATAGCTTCGATCGACTTTTTAATCCACTACAAGTATTGCAACATGATTTTCAAGTGCGCCAACGGCAAAAACAAGAGCCCGTCTCATTTAGAACATATATATTAGTAGCTCGTGAAAGCGATATTGCTTTAAATAAAGAACAGACTGCAATCTTGTGATGTAAAATCGTATCAATTCGTTACGATATTGTCGACTTGGGCTCGGCATAATAACTCTAAGGTAGATCTCGGCACTCTATCCTTTTTTGTATGAATCCTTCTAATGATATATAGACTACTCCTGATTCTAATAGACAGGTTGTAACGCGTGATAAGCAAATGCGCTAAGAATTAAGAGACGCACGCAATAAAATGGTGGACGATATAAGAAAGGCTAAAAAAAAAAAGGAATACCCTTCTTATTATACGATATAGTAAACAGGTAAAACGTTCAAAATGGAAAGGTTCGTTACCACGAACAACAAGCCTCTAAACAGCTGTGTTTCCCATGTCTAAAGCAACAAGTTCTACAAACCCAAAAGTGTCAACGAAAGCTGAGAATATGGAGAATGTTCAATGAAATGGACAAAAATGCCCGTGCAAAACAATTCGAGCTCAGAAGTTTTGAAGACCAGTAATTGTTGTGATGTTAAATCATACCAGTCCATAAGTATATCATTTATCTAGAACCAACAGAAGAACTGGACTTATGGACATATATAGTGGCAAGACCTGTTAAATTATTAGGTAGACATCATCAGCAAAGCTGATCGACTGACGTAGTAATGTAAATGGAACAGTTATTATAGTTGACACAACGTTTTAAGTATTTAACCCTTTAGGAGTTGCTTCACAGGAACGGCTCTTAGCACGAAAAGTGTGATGTAATTAGCCATATAGACTTCACTACAGCGGTTTTTTAGCATCTTTTCGGTATTATTCCTTAGCATTATTGGACTCCAAAGCATGCTCTATGATATTTAAAGTACCTTTTTCCTTCGCGTTTTTAGTATAAGATTAGCACATGATCATGTGCCTGCGATTAGCACTCTTTCATCTCAGCCTTAAAACTGTGTCTTAAGAGTATTCTATTAAAAAAATCTACCGGAAATATAAGGTAAAATATTAAAAAAAAAAAAAAAACTGCGAAAATTTTGAGGGCGAAGTATGCATAAACTGCCTATTTTTACTAGATAATAGCTAATAGTTCGATTGCCGACTAACGAATCGATAACTGAACTCGTTCTTTACAGTAAGAGCTATTCTACGAGCATACGAATAGCGACAACTCTAATTCAACCAATAACTTCAAGGTGTGTTTTGTTAAAAAGAAAATTCTATTGAAGGCAATAAATTTTGTTTCTAATATAAACAGAACAATGTTTTTTTGGAGTTGCTAAAATAATAAAAAATACGAGAGTTATATCTCAAACTTTACCCCCAGTAACATTCGCATTGAGCAGCTTGAGGGAATTCTAGACTTGAAATCCAAATTGGATCATTTACTAGCCTAATATACTAGAACGCGCTTGTGCGATACTTGTTCTAGGCTTTTGCTTATTTTTCACAAACATTAATAATGAGAAGGAAAGAGGAAAACATCTTGAGCAAACGGCCGTTTAGGCATTACCAAATCGTTTTATCATAATGTTATAGAAACGAAATTTTCGGAGGTACTATGGATGATAAGTTGATATAGATTTTGTAGCAACAAAAACTTATTATTCTCCTGTAAAGTGTTACAGACGGAATGACTACGAGACGAAGCGAGTACGGAACATAGGTAGAATTTTGTTTGTTGTCCGTTCTGTTCAGCGAGCTGGGATTATGTTCCTGCAGGATATTGCTGCTACTGGGTGGCATGAATCCAATAAAATTAGACGAAAAAATTCAGTAATTGAAATATCGAAGCGCATAGGGTTTTGAAAACGAATATTTTGTAACTCATAGATACTTGAGTTGGAGATGGAAACTTCGTCAGGGTAATACAACATAAAAAGAGATAGCTTGTTCATGTAACACGAACTCTGTTATTGACCCAAATCATATATATTAGCTATATATAGTTGCTAATATTTAGTCCTTTTTTCAAATACAGTAACAATTTCGCCATCCTATCAAATTGTTAAACAAATTTATAATAATCATAATATATAATATTGTGCGATACCTATCAGCGTAACAAGTCGATTAAAACCAATGATCATACTGAAACTAGCAAAAAACACTATTAATATACGCTGAAATAATGTAGTAAAATACGGCTCAATTTTACGAGCATCTGCTAATAGAAACAACTCTACAAATCGCGTAATCCGCAGGCTTAGGGGAGTCCACCACTACACCAAGCACAGTTATTATACCACAGGTCTCAATTAAACACAGCCATAGTTATAATACATTTCTTATTAAATAATGTGATATGATTGAAAACTAGCATCTCAAAATTTCGTGTAATCTTACTCGTTGGCCTAACTGCCATATTGACTGTCTAACGTTACAAGGTACTGAATTTGGTGTCCGCTCTTATAATGAGGCTTTATACTCATTTTCTTCTAGGTGACCTTGCGTTGGTAAGTTGTTGTTGGCTATGGTGTTGTCCACACAAATAATAAACATAACAGTACATTCTAGCTAAGGCGCCCACAAATGGCCTCAAGAAATATTGGATCAGGCGCCCTATTGAGTTATTAAAAAACCATTCATTCACCTTGCCCGTGGTCACAGTAATCATCATCACTAAATCTGTTACGATTACGAACGGCATTGATGACGGTCCCAATGAACGGAGTAGCGGAAGCTTATGACTAATTCAGGCAATGTACTGTCAAAAAATACTGGGCTCAATACCAATTCGTAAGAGCTAGAAAGGTAGCTGTGCAGGAAAAATCGCATCGAGATATTTTGAGAACGCCTTCCTCAGTTTAACTTGTTAGGCTGTAACAGTCTGCATATATTTAGGCGCCGTCTAACAACACTTCGCGCGCGACGATCGCTCCGCCATTTATATCCATTTAAATTTCCCGCTCTTAATTTCGAAACCACTCAACGTGTTCCACAGTTGAGCTAGGGTAATATTTGCGAATTACGCTAGATACATCACTTTCTCAATTATTTGTACCGCTGACGAAACCCCCTGCATCGCCGATGGGCTGGCTTAACAAGATGTACTAAAATTTTTCCAATTTGATTCATTCCTTTTCCCCATTCCGTGGTCGCCCCACTCTCCTCGAAGTCTTAATTTATAATATTATAACGATATATATTGCAGAGTTGCCCCCCCTCTAAAGCCAATCAACTACGAAAACGTTTCAGCTTTGTAATATGTAGGCAGCTTAATATTCTCATTAGCACTTGCAAGTCTGGCTATAATCTTCACCTGTCCTGTATTGAAATCGTTTAGACGAACGGCATGGGTCGTGAATTTGCCCGTATGCCTATAACACCAACATCCAGTTTTACCGGAACGCAAAATCTAGCACAGATTGACAGACAGCCCATAACACTAGCAGTCATTGCACATTCGAAGCGTGTTCAGCCGACGCTCGCCAACTAGCTCAGCTCCGCTGCGCTCTCTTTAAAAGCAGCTTCCCTCTCCGCTCTGGCTGTAAGGTCCAATGAAGTCTCTTCTCGTTCGTCTCTTGTCGGGCACCCGCAGCAGCAGTTTACGTTGAGCGCCCGAGGGGAGTGGTGGTGTGATCCGTCGTGACTCCGCCGTGCTTGTGCTGTTGTACCCCGTTGCGTTCTTTGTGTGTGTGTGCTTGTCTGTGCTGGTTGTTTTTCTCGGCCATCTACTGAAACTGTTCCCCCGACTTTCTTTAGCCCCTCGTGAGCCCCCGAGAGCCGTTGTCAGAAGCGTTCGTTGGCGGCTGGAACCACCTCCTTGTGAGTGCCAAGGCTGGCACTTTCCCCGCGGAGTGCCGCCCGCCCTAAGATGCTATAGTTTGTCCGGCTGTGAGCCGTCTAGCGAGCCAGGCGCTAGAGAACGATGAAAGCGAATGAATGTGAGTCGTCGAACAAGCAGAATGCAATATAGGCTTTAAACGACGAGAGTCAAGTGTAGTGGCCGGCCGCTTAAAACCGGCCGAGTTACGAATTAGCCACTGAGTGCGTCTGTATATGATGAAAGAGAAAATCTAGATAGCAATCGAATCCGGTCGAGTTCGTCGAGGGACAGTAACCCCCCATACAGAAACAGGCGAGCTGGGGTCTCTCCACGATGGACCCGATTGGCCCTGGAACTTAGTATATCGAGCAGAAGAAATGAGAAATTTATCATCAAAGATAAAAGAGAGCAATGGCAACATACTAGTCGCGTTTGTGTGTTTAAGTTGTGTCTGTGTCTATGATCGCTTGATGTCGCATCGCGATGCTAGTTCTTCTGTGCTGATGGCACTGTATTACGCGGTTGAGGGCTTTGTTTCAGCTGTTGGTGAACGTAGTGAGTAATCGTTTAAATAGTAGCAGTAGCATTTGTGAGGCAGTTCGTGTTCAAAGCGGCCGCATAGGACCGTCGCTCGTCGTCGTTCGCAGCCCATGCCCCGTGGATCTCTATATCCGTTCGTCGCTCCAGTAGTGCCTGCCTGCGTGTGTATCTGTGTGTGTGCGTGCTATCGTGACGGTGCCGTATAGCGACCGCTGCCACCACCGTAAAAGAATGGAATGCCCACCTTTTTCTACTACCTAACTTTATTTCACGGCTACAACTTAACTACTGAGAGCCGTTAAAATTCGCACTGCAACTCCAGTTTTTGAATATCAAAAGGTACATAACACAGACTTCTACATTTATACAACAAAAATCATATGCTAGTGAGGCAGTATGTAGAAGACGAAGTCGGTAGAGTTTAATAATTTCGAAAAAGGAAGCAAGACGAAGTAAAACGGGACTGCAACAGTACACATCTGCTAGCGTTCACCAGGAGTGTTTATTACTCCCTAGAGCACCAATAAGCCACAATAGCTAATACCGACCTGGCAATCTTTTTCATCATCAAATATCGCTCTGCCAGGCTCTCTCCTCCGTAGAATTCGAGTTCTTCGCCGTACTGATAGCGATACGCTATTATTTTCCGCACTATCGTCGCCGTTGTTATGCACAACACAGTTCTAGCGGAACAACAGAGAAACAGACCCCTTGCTCTTTAAACGGGTCGTTTTTTCTGCTCGCTATCGCAGCCTCGGTAACGATTTTCTCCGCAGTGTCTCGTGACACTGTATTACAGCACGGTAGTACCGCTGTTCGTACTACCGCTTTCCGCTGTTGTAGGTTCGTAGTCTGATGGTCAGCCTGTTTGTTCCAGTTTTCATTTTCTTCCAGTATTTAGTCTACGTGTGTTTGTGGCTGTTATCTGTCACTAGAGCTGTTGGTGCCCAACGGGCCCGCGCCCCGTGTGCAGCACCGGAGGGAGTTTCGAGTAGTGGGTGCAATGTGTCCCTGCCACTACGACGTCTTGCGTTGTTCTAGTAGCTGTTGTTGTTGTTCGGCTAGCCGCTGGCGGGAGGCCAGCCACTGCCTACTGCTGTTGCCGCTGGGGGCCGCCACCAATTCCGCCCACACCGCCACCGTCACTGCCACCTCTGTTCGAGCTTCTGCCATCTCGGCCGCCGCGAACACAGCCACTTTGCCGCCGTCACCGCAGGCGCTGGAATCGCCGAGCGCGAGATCGTTCGTTCTTGCCACTTGTGTCGCCTCTGCTGCTGGCAGCACACGTTGTGGTGCTGCTATACGTACTACTGCTGCTGCCGCTGCTGCTATTGCTGCTACAACGATCCCTTCTTCCACGACGGGCGGAATCGTTGGGTTTTAGTCTTGTTCGGACCGGGTCTCGGTCCATTTCGAAGGGCCCGTGCTGCTGCACTCAGAGCACTGCTGTTAGAGTAGTTGTGTTGTTATTGGGTTGGTTGACGCCGTTAAGCTACTGCTGCTGCTGCTGCTGCTCAGCCAGCAGCAGCTTCCATTAACCACCAGCAGCACCGTTGCTCCTGCCTGGATTGCTGACCACGCGCCGTTTACTGTCCGGCTAACCAACTGGCGAACTTCACTAGTTGGTAACTGGTGAGTGCGCGACTACTCGGTCAGTATTGCTGCAGTGAATAAAACAGCAAAGCAACAATAGCAACAACCTAAGCAACACTAAAATACTATATCACAAGATATAAGCCAGCCTGTGATAGAGCACCGTCCGTAGCAAGAAGATCATAGTTGCAGTACTAACAGAAGTATCCATATATAAATATACGGACAGGTAAACAACAAAACGACGACGCCGGAGACATTTGAGTTAACGCGCTGACTGACTTCAACGACGCGACAATGCGTGGATGAACTCTCTGAACAAACGCTAAACTTCCCCACGAACAAACGCTAACAAGCCAGTCAACCAGCGGACCTTACAGAGAGCGCTGCTTTAAGCTGTTCGAGTTGCCACAGAACGCCAACGAAAAGTTCTCGCAAAACATGAAAAAGTCATATTAATAATAATAACAACCATTGTTGTCGTAGTATTGGTAGCAGGAAAAAATAGACAAATCAAATTGGAGAAAAGCGAATCATCAGATTTAGAAGGCGGCACAGGGACTTCCTTATTAATTCGAACGAGAAAAATGCAGTCCGGCCAACTGCCCGCTGGATAGACAACGAGGCAGCCGGTGGCCTTCCGTTGCGTTGACCTTCCCTGTGAAGAGACCCTGCTACCAGATAAACTGGGACAAACTAGAGGCGGACGTCAAGAGACGTTAATCCGGGAAAGACCCTGTTAGCCCCTGTAGCACAAGTCCCCCTCCCCCAATCAACATGAGCATCGGCACAGTGGCCGTTTTTAACGACCTGTAGCCAGTTTTTCGCATTTGTGGAATCGCATCTTAAGTGGTAGGGGATTAGGGGTGGCTGAAGGTGCGAGTCCAGTAGCAACGACGAATAGTGATACGAAAGCAAGGCTAAAGGATAATTCATAACAAAAATTGGAAAAGCGTACCACCGTAATATATCTTCGAGCCAGAGGGAAAGAGAGAGAGGCAGGGGGCGCGGTACTGAATTGTGAAAAATTACCCCACGGTTGCCACACCAACAGTGACCATCTATCTGCCTATCAATATCGATGTGCTTGCTCGTGAGTTGAAGAGGAAGAAGAAGTTAGAAAGTGTAAAATATCAACCACAATGACGATTATTGTGTTTCTCGTCGACACGTCGGCGTCCATGACCCAACGGACCTATATGGGCGCGCGCCTATCAGTGCTCGACATTGCCAAAGATGCTGTGGAACGATTTCTTAAGGTATGTATAAGTACATCTAACGACAAATACAACAATTAAAATTATTATAACACGGTGATACTGTGTTTGCGTGGTACACACATTAGAAAGATGATTCTATACGAATCATGTTACATGACACACATGACAACATCTATGTTTCCTACACTTGGAATATGCATCTCTACAGATGCCAAAGGCTGCCATTGCTGACGTTCATTTTACAATTATAACCTAAACCTTAATAGGCTGGCAATGTTTGTAGAATGGAAGCATA